CCCCCACCCCCACAGAGAGCCAGGCCAAGTACACGGTGAACGGCTACCTCCTGGAGTGGCGGGACTGGCGGGGAGATAGTAAAGACGCCGTGGCCGAGCTGTTCCGGTGTCTACGACAGGTCAAGAGGGATGACATCATCAACGAGATCTGCGCCTGCCTCAGAAATGACATCGGTAAGTCTCTTTTGCCGAACTGTGATTGGTTCATTCATCTCATGTAGACTGTAGGACCAAGGCAAGCGGGTTAGGGTTAGAAAACCCCTCCAAACTGTGGGTGGTTGGCAGATGAACTGATGTGGTTTGTAGGTCAAGAGAGATGGCGTTATCAATGAGATTTGTTTGCGCTTGTCTCAGAAATGACATGGGTAAGTCAGTCTCTTTTGCCGAACTGGGGTACGGCCAAATTGTGGGTGGTTGGCAGGTGAACGGGTGTGGTTTGTAGGTCAAGAGAGATGGCGTTATCAACGAGATTTTTGTCTGCCTCAGAAATGACATCGGTAAGTCTCTTTTGCTGAACTGTGATTGGTTCATTCATCTCCTGTAGACTATAGGACCAAGGCAAGCGGGTTAGGGTTAGAAAACATGAGAAAACATGTATCTGTTTAGACCTACATGTATTATAATTATTTATTGTGAGTGGTTAGCGGGTGCTCTGGTGTGGTTTGCCCCTTCTTTTCTAATAACAAACATCTATCTGTCACCCTTGTCTCTCCTCTTTCTTTCTTTATGTTTGTTACTCTCTTCTAACACCTCTAATCTTTGGCACTTATATGACCTTATTGTGTTGCAGGTGCCGTATCACGCTTACTAAAACCATTATAATAATCTATTTATTTCCTTTTTGTCCCTCAGAATTCAGCGAAGATAGCCAGAGGCAGTCGAGGCACTCGTCCAACAAAAAGTCCATGAGGGACGAGTGCGTCTACATTTTCTTCCCTTGCTGCTACGGAGGGAAAGAAAAGTCCTCCTCCTCCTCCTCCTCCTCCTCCTCCCACTCTTCCGGTGCCGCAGTCGTGGTGGAGGCAGACGCCGGCGAGGCGGGAACCAAACTCCTGGCCTACCCGACAGACGACATCGACGAGGGCAGTGACAGTGCCGGGGGTGACGGGGGTCAGAGGACAGCGCCCGGAACTTTCTACCGCTCCCACCCCTCGCCCAGCGCGCCGGAGCTGGACGAGCCGTCTGGCGGGGGTGGGGGGTTCCCCAGTCTGGACAATGTCAAGTACAATCGCCAGTTCTCGCAGCCTGTGCAAGCGACGTCTTGAGTTGACCCGTGTCATGTGTGATTGTGTGGGTGTGTGATTGTGTGTGTGTGAGCGTGTGTGTGTGTGTGTGTATGAGCGTGTGTGTGGTTGTGAGCGTGTGTGTGTGTGTGATTGTGTGTGTGTGTGTGCGAATGTGTGAGCGTGTGTGTGTTATTGTGTGTGTGAGCGTGTGTGTGATTGTGTGAGCGAGAGAGATAGAGAGAGAGAAGGGGAGTGAGATAAGAGAGAGAGAGGGAGAGGGAAAGAATGTGAAGAATAGTTATTATCATGAACAATACAACAAAAAAGAGAATGAGTATCGGAAGAAAAGTATTTTTGTGAATGATGAAAAGAAAAAGAAAAAAATATGGTGTGATGGTTCTGAAGAAACACAGGGAAGAAAGAAAGACAGAATAGATGAAAAATGTGAGGTTGTGTGAGTTATGAGTTAGATCTATGCGTATTTGAGTGGATGTGTTGGAGAGAATGTTTCTGTGAGAAATCTGGTTTAGCCCCTCTCTGTATATGTTGGATGCGAGGAGGGACTGAGTTTGAATATATCTGTACATGAGAGAGAGAGAGGAGACAGAAAGAGAGAGAGAAAGACAAAGAGAGAAAGAGACACAGAGAGAGAGAGACAGAAAGAGAGAGAGAAAAAGACAAAGAGAAAAAGAGACAGAGAGAGAGAGAGAGAGAGGGGGGGGGGAGCTTTCTGTCCTTCAAGATGTATCTCTCAACAAAGCTCTGACAGAATAAGTTCGCAGTCTTAAGTTTTTTGGTGACTGAAGCATATGTAACACAATCACTTTATATATGTCTGTTTCATTCAGAAATAGCTGTAAATGTGTGTGTGTGTGTGTGTGCGCGCGCGTGTCCGTGCGTGCATGTGCACATAATATGCTTATGTCTGTATACATTGCTATTTTTTTACGGGGCAAAAGGGTTTGTTTTTTGTTTTTCATAATGTTCCTCATGACTGAACTTCTCATTTTTTATTTTGGTTTGGGTTTGTTTGTTTTTTTGTTTTTTGGGGGGGGTTGTAATTTTTTTTTGTCCTTCTTTATTTTTATGTTTTTTCTTTGGCTATAGAGAAGGATGAAGTCGAGGGCGTGAAAGTGTGATAGTTGTAATAACTGTTGTAGTTGTGTGGACACGTGGTATCATACAGATGGAACGGCCTAGAAGAGCTTTGTGTGATGAGAATCTCTCCCTGAAAATAATTAAAAGATTAAAAGAATGCATGGCTGACAAGAGAGAGATACAGAGAGAGAGAGATACAGAGAGAGAAAGAGAGAGAGAGAGATACAGAGGGAGAGAGAGAGAGAGAGAGAGATTGAAAGTGAGAGATTGAGAAAGAGAGAATGATAGTGAGGGATGTTCGAAGTCCCCAGTTCTTCATTATCGTTCTAAAATAATAATATTGTCTAATGAAGAAACTTTCTTTCACTGTCAAGGTGGAAGCATATTTTGTATTAACGATTTTTAATGAACAGTTCTTATCCCATCAGTAAAGTCACTTTTTTTTTCTAAGGCATTTTTTTTTTTACATCGCATTTACTTTCTGTATCCTTCACTGTTACGTAAAAATCCACTCCACAATAGCTTTTTAACGACTTAAAATAGCCTGGCAGTTTTAATTCCTTTCAGACATTAATGCATTGATTGTTCAGTGATACAGAATTTAAAGCAACTGAATCATGTTACTTTTGCTATTGGTATCGAATTTCACCAATAATTTTCTAGTTTCTTCTAGAAGGTTATCAGTTCAGTTTTACAGTTTCAGACAGAAGTAAGTTCTCCTTTTGGATTCATATCTCAATACTGCCGTGCCAAGGCAGAGCGACGTATCTGCAATTTGTTATGAACATCACGCTGAAATTGGAAATATGGGCATGGCCCTTCGGTAACGTCTGTTTGCCACAGTGAAATATCCTATTTGTAGTGCAGATACGTCTGTTTGCCATAGTGAAATATCCTATTTGTAGTGCAGATACGTCTGTTTGCCATAGTGAAATATCCTATTTGTAGTGCAGATACGTCTGTTTGCCACAGTGAAATATCCTATTTGTAGTGCAGATACGTCTTCCTGCTTTTGACACAAGATGCAAAATTGGTTCAGGCGTCCATCTAAACGAAGATGCAAAAATTATTAAATTTTTAACAGATGCGTCGGTCAGCCTTGGCACGGCAGAATGCTAACACAGCAGCAGATTTCCCACTGCCAATTTTTGCATACTTTTGACAATTTTTGCATACTTTTGATCGTAGACCGAAACACCCAGTCCTGAGACATTCCAGTGGGTGGTGGTGTGTGTAGCGTATGGCTGGATAGACAATGTTCTTATCCTTCATCATTAATCATGTGTAAGATATAATATAAGCAAATGTGTTTTTTGCTGTTAATTGCGTCTTTAATTTCATGTTAATTCATCTGAATTCTGTTGGTACTCCTGGTTTCGATGCATTTTTCTCATTTTTGATATGTTTTTAATTGTTTTTTTATTTTTTTTTATTAATTACATTTTCTCCCCTGCTTTTTCAAGATGTATAAAAATGAGGAAGATTTTGTTATGAGTCGTGACATATTATATGTTTACTTAATAATATGAGAGAAAGAATTCTGAATTACTTTTAACCATTCGAAACATCATCATCATCTCCAGACTGAACACGTATATTTATGCATGCGTCATTCATAGTTCTGAACACACTGTGGCCTCATGATTCTGATTTATGGAACAGGTTGCAATAGCTGACTGCAAAGAGTCTGTCTTTAGAGCGTCTGAGATACCGATTATATATATTTCAGGAAAGTGTGTGGAGGTGGGAGGGCTTTTCTTAAATTT